GGAAGCGGGCGAGTTCCCAGCAGTGGGCGAGGGGTGTTGCCAAGGACACGCCCCGGGGGCCACGGCTGAGGATCCGGGAGGGGCGGGAGTGGGTGCTAGGCACGGGACATTCCGGGCGCGAAAGGGGGAGCCGTGGTGGACCCCACAACGCGGCTGCATGGCAGGATGGACGGGGACTGGGGTTCTGGGCAGGCCTGTGAGCACTGGAAGGGGTGAGGGTGTGCACTGGCGAGCGGCCAGAGGGCTGGCAGCCACGGGCAGCCGTGGTGACCGCAGGGGGCTGGGGGGTGACGACACTGGGGAGGCTCAGCCATAAGCCGCCATTTGCGGAAGGACCAGGAGCTGTGGCCAGGCCAGCGGGAACCTGAACACGGCCTGGCGGGCCACCTCGTCCCCCTCCCGGAAACCTGCGGGCGCCCTGGACACCCAGGGGGGACAGTGCCCTCCTCCGGCTGGGCCTCAGGACCCCATCCCTGCAGGCAGATAAGAGTCAGCGGGAGCCACAGCCTCTCCCTCGGGAGGAAAGTGGGGACCAGGGATGCGCCCCACCTGGAAAACCACAAAGCAAGACCAGCCGGACCCAGGGCCCGCGGGAGGGGCCGGCTCCGGGGCTGCCTGGCCCATCGCGGATCCAGATCGGGAGGCAGGTGCGGCTGGGTCTGGGCAGCAACCCCTCGGCCCAGGGGCCCGAGGGGGGTTAGTGCCCGAGACCCGCGGGATGGCGAGGCCACTGGGTGAAGTCCCTAAAAGTCACCTCAGCGCCTGAAAGGGGGCGTTTGTGACATGCAACTCGGCCCCCATCGCCAGGAAAAGAAGTAGAGGCAGCGAAGGAGGGGGGAGAGCAGAGGTGACGGCACACGGGACCCGGGCTGCGGAGGGGTGGGGGTCCCCGGGCACAGGGCGCGGCCAGGCCCGTGCCGCCAGGCATCCCCCCCGCCGCCCACCAGGCCGGTGGGGAAATTCAGGAGCACTTTGGGTGATGAAATTCCTAATGGCGGAAAAAACAGGAGAAGATCGTCTGGCCCACAGCCTTTACAGCTTGCTTTTTGCAGATTTTCTCGTTTGAGGTTAAGGGCTAGCTGAGGCTACCTACACTTGCCTGTGAGCTAGGCCACAGCGGCGGGCAGCGGCCCGGCCCCTCCCGCCCCTCCGTCCCTCAGGCACGCCCAGCAGGTGCACAGACTCCACCCGCAGCAGCGCTGTGGTGCTGGAGTCAGCGCGCCTGTCGGTCCTGCCCGAGTGAGGAACACGCGTCACGTTCTCTGGGAGAGAGCGCGGGCCGCCCAGCTGTTTCCGTTTAGGAGAGAACAGCAAGGAATGGGGGGTCTAGGAACCACAGGGGAGGGGCCTCGGGGGAGCAGGCTCCCACGGGGACCCCCACCCGGCTCCAGCCCGGGGTCCACCCCGCCGGTCTCCGTGCTGCCATGGACTGGCCCTTGGCTCGGGCCGCCTGGACATCTGGGCCACCCGCCCTCCTCCGCGCCACTCCCCCGGCCACGCCTCCCGGTCTCCTGGGGCGGAAGGCAGGAGGGACCCAGGCCACCAGGTAAAGTGGCCCTTCAGGCAGACGGCGGGCAGCGCCTCGCGCCACGCCCAGACGGCACGCGACGGGCACACACGCACTTCGTGGCGCTCTGACGCTCACATTCCGCCGGGATCACGGGGCTCCTGCTTCGCCCGGCGACCGCACCAGGCATGCTTCTGGGCAGCTGGGTCACAGCCCACCCCGGGGCCTGAGCCACAGGCTGGGCCCAGGCCGGGAGAAGCCCGGCAGCGGCCGCTGGGAGGGGGCACACTCACGCTCTGCATCTTGGCCTCCGTGTCCACGACGTTCTTCTCCACCTGGTCAGCATTCTTCTGCAGCCGCTCGATCAGCTCCGACAGCTCC